AAAAGTATAATTAATTTAAAATTTAAATTTAAATTAATTTTAATTGAATTACTTTGAATTTTCTTGACTTAACTATGATTTAATCCAATTAAATTTGAATAATTTTAATTTAGATCATATTAGATTCTAAATTAATATCTTAAACCACGACTCAATTTATATAACGAATTGAATGAGTTGATTATTTGAATTGAATCTAATTTTGTCACATTTAGTGTCCTTTTCATCTATTTAAATTTGATCAACTCTTTGGTAGGTGATTAATAATAAATTAACAAATTATTAATTCATAAAAGATAGATATGATTCCAGCCATGCTCCCCTGCGCTGTATAGAAATAATTTTAATTTTGTTAAACATGGTTTTAACATAATTTTTTTCAATTTGATTTGATCAAACACCTTATCTAATTATATACTTATGTCACACGCGCAGATAATTAATAAAAAAGATAGATACGATTCCGAACAATTTATTTAAAATAACAAATCATTAACATAATTGTAACGGAATTTATTAATGAGGTATTGACAATCTATTGGCAACCATAATTTAAAGAGGGTTTTTCAATCAACATCAATGGCTGCAACTTGAAGCATCTGAGAAAAACAGATATTATTGCATTTTTTGAATAGCCACCATGAGTTTTCATACGAAAACAGAGACTTTTACTATTGTTAATATTAGGTTTTGAATGGTATTTGCTAATTTTGCTTTCTTTCTCTAAAAAAACATAGCTTTTGTTTCTTCATAAATAGAGAATTTTAATTTTTAATAGTATGATAAGAAAATTTTATTTTATTTTTTAAATTTTTTTATGTTTGTTTCAAGTTTAAATTTAATATTTTACATATAAAAACTTAAACTCTTAATTATTCATACATCTTACAAAAACAAAAAATTTTAAAATAATGAGGTATAAGTTTAATTTCAAAGTGTTAATTTATAACTATGTTAATTTTTTAATATTTTAAAAATATATAAAATATATTTAATATTTATTTTAATTATTATTTTTTATATTTTTAAAATAATAAAAATTGAAAACTAAAAACACCCAAAATTAAAAAAAATTTAAAAAAAATCTCAATAAAAACGTAACTTATTAAAAAAAGATGAGGTGTAAAGAAGGTGACAATAATGGAAGCTAGTAGGTACAATTACAATCTACCCTTTTGGTGGCTATAGCCACAGGTTCTTCTCAAAACTTTTGATAAAAGTGGTGACATGTGTAACGTATACGAAAACACAGGTGTCAAGCAGAGGCTGGGATTACAGCTAGCTATTTCAACTTCAAATTCCAGGTCGGCTGATTTAACCATCTCCGCAGTAGTTAATTCTTTTTAATGTCAATTTTTATATTATTTAAATAAAATATTATTTTGCAAGCCATGTTCTGTATGAGCGGCAAATACCATAATTTCATGTAATTAATAAGGCAAATTTGTTGTCTTATAATAGCCTCTCTAAGATGAGCAGAATATATAGAACTGCTTATAAAAATGGAGAAGTTATATGCAATTTTTCATATGAGATTTAAGTTTTATAAGATGATTTGTATATTAAAATGCAGTTTGTTTATACATTTATTTAAATATTTTTAATAAAATAAGTATAATAAATAATCTTATTAAAGATATTTAAGTAAATTTTTTTATTTTTTACTATCCCACGATATCTTGAACCTACATTGGTTTTTAATTAATTTAAAGTTGAGTTATGTTTAACCTTATAAAGGATAAATTTTCTCAACACTTATTTCTCTATTTATAAGATTCAAATTCGAAATATTATTCAAGGAAAACTGAGTTCTATCTAAGTAAATTCATAAGGTAAATTGTATTTTAATATATAATCTGTTCTGTAAAATATTCTTTCATTGTTATATATATATTGCACATCTTATAATTATTGATAAAAAATAAACCTTTTGCCAATGACATAAGAAACGTAGTAATAATTTTTTTTCAATAAAAATAAGAAGTTTTAAATTTAAGTTACATAATATACAAAAAAAGTGAATTAAGGGATGAAAAAATTATTTTTTATTATACAACTTAAAATTTTTATAAAAAAAAAGAAAAAGAAAAAGAAAAGAGAGAGAGAGAAAGAAGAAGTAACCTTTTAATGTTGGAGTAGTCCCCTTCCATTAATAATAGTAAAATGTGCAGCTATAATCCTTCTTACCAACTTGACCAATAATTTGCCAATGTGTTTGGTGCACTTAAATTCATTCCTACCATCTATATATCAATACGAAAGCACTAACATTATTAGATCAAGTTGTGAAGATATATTGAAGCTTGGAGAATAATCCATTCATTTTCCAAACTGTCTTCACTTCTTTACAGTTATAATTTAAGTATAGAAACTCAAATTCTTATAATTGTTGAAATATTTTTTTTAAAAAATTTATGGTGGTAAACTATAGAATTGGTTAAGATAACCAAATATATTACAATCAAAGTTATAATTTATATAATATGTCATTAAAGTGCAACAAAGTTAAATATATAACGTTAATAACATATGACATGTTTATAACTTACATATATAAAATTTAAAGAGTTATTGATCATTAAAAATTAACTCAAAAATTACTATAAAAAAGCAAACATATTTAAAAGGATGACTCAATTTTACATTACAAGTATTTAAAAAAAAAAAAAAATCTCATATGAAAACTCCAACTTTTAAAGTAAAAATATTAGCTAAAAATCCTACCCACAACCATGTTGTCAAGTGTCAGAGCAAGCATTTGCAAGTCCAACCTCATGCAAAGAAACTCCAAAGAGAAAGGAAGACAAAGCAACTCTCGCGAAAAAGGGAGAGACCCTCAAAAGAAGACAAAAACTTCGACAACTATCGAAGAAAATAGAGGCAACGACTAGAATGAAATAGGAAGCAAGAAAAGGGGGAGATTGGATTAAAGGTGAGAGGGTTACAGAGGGAGAGAGGGGGATTACATTAAGTAGATGGGCCATCAAGATGCCACCAAATGTATAAAATGACAAGAGAGACAGCCCATCAAAGAATTCATTTCTAGAACGGCGTGTGTGAACCCAAATAATCTTCCACGGATACTAATCAAAACCATTCTATTCTAACGTGTGAAAGAAGCAAAACAAGTTTTCTAACATTTCTTTCGTTTTTTTTTTTTTAAACCCAAAATTTCTTTGTAATATATACCCACCTCACCAAACGCCCTTCTCATATATCCCCTTCATTTTTCAATTTTCACAGCCACTAAAAGCACCTCTCTGTCCTTCACTATATATCCATAACCCAAACCCTCTCCCTTTTCCCCATTTTTGCAAAATGCAAATGCAGATGCAGCCAAGTCCTCTGCTTTCTTTCTCCCCCACCTCTCCAAGCTTCAACTCTTACTCCTCCGAAGAGATGGCGGCGATAGCTGCCAGGGTGGCGGAGGAATTTAGAGCTGAATCTGGTCACCCTGAATTCAATTCATTTCATGAGTATTGTGATGCCCCAATCCCACGCCAAGAAAGCGATGCAAGTGAAGCCAATACTTTTCATGATTATTGTGATACATCAATCCCGCATGAAGAAGATAGTACGACGGTGAGTGGTATATATGGGTCAGAACGGCAAGAAGACGGTGATGATGTTGAAGATGAAGATTTTGAATTCGCGTTTGTTTGTGGAGAGCCGGAATCCTCTTCAATCACTGCCGATGAGATATTCTACAATGGCCAAATCAGACCCATCTATCCACTTTTTGACACCAGCCTTCTCGCCGGCATCAGCTGCGACTCCAGCGAAGCAAAACCCAGGTCACGCCGTCCGCAGCTAAGGAAGCTACTAACAGAAGAACGCGAAGCAGGGGCGGCAGCGGCGGCGGCGGCGACTGTAGGATCCTGTTCGTCGTCAGAGGCTGAAGAGTTCGAGGGGCTGGCTCCGGAGACTTATTGCGTGTGGACACCGAAAGATCGGAGGTCCCAAGAATCTTCACCAGAGAGATGCGGGAAGAGCAATTCGACGGGGACTTCCAAGAGGTGGCGGCTGGGACAACTGATGCGCAGGAGCAATAGCGACGGGAAGAACACATTGGTCTTCTTGTCGCCGAGCAGGAGAGACAAAGGAACCGGCGGTGGCGACCACGACGGCAACGGCGGTGATAGGGACCGCAATGGAGGAGAGAAGAGGAAATCGATTCTGCCAGAGAAGCAGGACTTTTTGGGCTTCTTCTTTAATGTGAATGGATTGAGTAGAAATTTGCATCCATTTTGAAGAAATTAAAGGTTAGCTTTGATATTTCTTTTTGTTGTTTTGCATTGTGTCAAGAAAGTAAATTATTACAGACGAGTTATGTTCTTATGAGGAAATATATTTCATCTTTAGGGATTTATTTTTTCTTTTAGAAGTAGGAATTATAATATTTTTATATTTAAAACTTATTATGTCTCATTGGTTGTAAATATTTTATTTTTTTATTATTTTTTTTAATATTTTAACTTTTAAAATGTTTTAAATTTTTTCAGTCTAATAAGATTTGAATTATCTATTTATATAAACACTTAGATTTGGATCATTTATTTATATAAATGCGGTAAATTAAGCAGCCAAAGCCCATAGTATCGATCCATGGTATCAATTATCAAATAAATTCAAATTAAAAAGCATGCAAGTTGATAAAAAAAAAAAAAACAGAAATTAGGTAATAGCACGAACCAAACACGGCGCCAAAACCGCCTACCATGGAAGAAAACATATTGTTTAATTTTCATATGTAATGGTGCAAGCCGGAGGCATGCTTTTCTTGCTGATTAACTCTTATGATATCCGATAATGATATTAATTTTTAATTAATTTGAATTTGAATCGCAATGGATTCTATAAGAGGAAAGCGTTTTAAATGTTTATTTTTTTATTTATAAAATTTAAATTTGAAATTTTATTTAATGAGAATAAAACTTATTTCACTTGAATTAATAGGTAATTGATGAATTAAACTTGTTATTGAAAAATAAAAAAAATTGTTTTATGAGATTAACTATATTTGTAGTAATTAATCAAATTAAATTATGAAACAAACAGTAGCCCCAAGATTGGTGAGACTCTTGTAGAACTAGAGATAGGTTGCAATTTGTGCATAATGACATCAATTTCTTAAATTATGTTATGAATCAATGATACGTTTTAGGGATAGCTGGCCCAAGGCAAAAAGAGCATTGGGGAAGTTGACTTTAAGAATCACCAAAAGATAAGAATGGAAAATCAACAACAATTCTCCCCCAGCCTTCATTTAAGTTTTTGGTTTTACCCCCAAAAAAATTTGTAGGTACTAAGGTTGATTTTTAAGCCAAGTTTTGTGGAAGTAATTATTACGCGAAATAACCTTAAAATATTAGATTAAATAAATATTATTTTATAAATTAAATTTAAAATTTAAGTTTTAAAATAAATATTTTTAATTTTTAATTTTTTTAAATATAGTAAGTTGATATATAATTGTGTTTTTAAAATTTTTTTAAAAAATAGTTAATTTTAAGCTATGTAAAAATTATATAAAAACACTCTAAAATAAATAAATAAAATTATTAAGGTAAAGTGAAATAAATCATCAGTGCATATCATGATGTTATGAGTTGGCAATTTAATATGCATTTTTACCCCCAAATCACTTTTCTTCTTTTCTAATATATTGATTAATTTAATTAAGTTGGAGTTGGTTTGTTCTTTGTTCTAAAGTTTGCTCGAGGGGATATATGAAAATGTCAATGGAGGTAGGTATGAATTATTATTTGGTTATTATTATAAAAAGGAATTCATAAAAAAATTTATTTAAATGAAAGGGGAAAGAATGATTGTTGTTCTGGCATGTTTGTGCAAAACCCTTGCTGAAGCAAATGTTGCCCAAATTCAATTTCTCAAGCAAATCACTGTAAATGCATCATATCATGAGTGGAAAACTCAGGTCCCCAAACCAGAAAGAAAAAAACAAAAACCCCTCAATTCCTTGCAATGCTTAGCATGTTCCTGGGCCCCAGGTAATTAGAGACAAATACACTTGGGTCCTTTTTTATTGGGAAATTGGGGAAACGAGTGGGCCTCATGTACCCTAATCTCAACCCCTTTTGGTGGAAATTCCCAATTCCAATTCTCCCCATTGCTTTCTTGCTGGGATCCATCAAAGCAAAGGACCCTTCCCTTTGCTTTGATAGCTAGTTGTGTTGGTTGCGTCTTATTTGGTTGATGAACTGCCAATGGGATGTTTTTCTTGGCCTATGGCTTTCTCCGTCTTTTCTTCCATAAGCCCTAGGAAATTGTGAAAAATAAAAGCAGAATCCTCTCTTCTGGATATCTTGCTGGGCACGAAGTGAACAGCCAAACAAATTATATCACGTCATAACATAGGAGGCTACTAGTTTTTCACTGGTAATTTCGTAAGCAGAACTGAATGATAAATCTAAAATATCACTATTACATATCTGATTCGGTATGAAAGAGTTAAGTAATATTAAGAATTTGTT